AGAGAGAGGGTGAGATTAGAGAGAGAGGAGAAGGAGTCTTAGAAGAAATACATGAAATGGTAGAGGAAATGATGAATGTTCTTCATCAGTCAGAGAGGAAACTGACTGAGCAAGCAAAGAGGGTCACTGATGCTAAACTAAAGGTGCTGTCAGAGCAAAGGAAATCAGCAAAAATGAGTTTGAGTCTTCTAGAGGATGTTGAGGATTATGTGGAACAGAGTCTGAAGGCAGGCAGTCCTCAACAAATCCTGAGGTCTAAAAAACAGATGATGGAGCGTTTGAGTGAAGTTACTGCAGGGATCAATGCGGAGGAGTTACATCCAAAGGAAAAGGCTGACTTTGTATTGAGTAAAGATATGAAATCGCTACATCACATTGGAGATATTGTGACCTACTCATCTACTGCACTAGAGCAGTGTAGAGTGAAAAAGATTGATCATATTACACCTGCTGGCAGAACAATTTCGTTTTTACTTTCAATAGTGGCACCAGATTCATCTGTTTTGTGTGTTCCCCTCTCTTCTCTGAGGTGTAGTCTAGTATCAGTAGGTAAAGGTGATCAACCCATTCACACTACAGTCACTACCACCAGCACTGATCCTGGAGTGTATAGGATACAGTGTAACCCTTCAACACGTGGTACTCATACAGTAAAAGTACAAGTATATGATGTACACCTTGAGGATACCTCACTAGTCATCCCTATCAATCCTTACCTTGATAACATCACTCCAGTACGTACTATAACTAAACTTAAGGGTCCCTGTGGAGTTGCTGTAAGTGGTGATGATCATGTTATAATAACTGAGCGTGATGGTCACTGTGTAACAATACTGGATAGAGAAGGAAAGAAAGTGAAATCATTAGGAAGGAAAGGAGGAAGTGGTAATGTCAAGTTTTCTCCTTGTGGTGTAGCCATTACTCAAGACAAATTCATTCTTGTATCTGATAATCACAGGATTCAGAAGATAAGCATGGATGGATACCTTATAGCATCAGTTGGTGAGTTTGGTATTGAACCACTACAATTCAATACTCCTCCTTGTATAGCCATCTCTCCTATAACAGGACAGGTTTATATTGCTGATAGGGGTAATCATCGTATACAAGTCTTGAATCCTGATCTAACCTTCTCTCAATTATTTGGTAGTGAAGGATCAGCTAATGGACAGTTTCAGTATCCACATGACATTGCTATTGACAGTCAAGGATTAATGTATGTTGCTGATACTTATAATCATCGAATTCAAAAGTTCTCTCCAGGTGGAAAGTTTGTGAGTCAGTTTGGTAGTAAAGGATCTGGTCCTGGACAGCTTATTCTGCCAATAGGTATAACAATAGACACTGCAGCTACTGGTCTAGTGTATGTTGGTGATGGCAATCATCATATATCAGTCTTCACCAGTGATGGTGTGTTTGTTAGGAAGTTTGGAAGTGAAGGCAATAATATTGATCACATTAAATATCCTTTTGGATTAACATTTGATAAAGATGGATTATTGTATGTTTGTGATTGTAGTAATAGACGACTTGTTGTTTATTAGATTTCTAATTTTGTTTATAAAAATAATTTTTTGTTTTTGATCCAACTTGTGACAGGAAACCATTAATTGATGCATGTAGATAACCGGTCAATAAAAATTGAATATTGCTACTAAAATTTAGCTCCTCCAAACTTGTTATAAATTATTCTTTATTATAATTATGTTGTAGGGTGCATTAGTAGAAGGCCAGGAGAATATTCAAGAAACATTAATGAAGCAACTGGTGCTGTGGCAATACTTGTGGGCCCTATCCATACTGAGAACTAGTTAGACAAAATATAATAATGCTAATAACATTTATCCATCTCCTTACCTTACTCTCACTCTCTCTCTCTCTCTCTCTCTCTCTCTCTCTCTCTCTCTCTCTCTCTCTCTCTCTCTCTCTCTTCTAGACGGACATTTTGTCTGTAAAGTGGATTATTTGACATGTTTACTCCTTTCAGTGTTGGCCTGTTTATCTTCTCTACTACTCATTTGAACAAGTCTACATATTCAAACCAGTCACTAGTAGACCAGCCAATTCAGAGAGGTAACTCATAAAACTTGCATTCCCATTTTCCCATACTATGTAATCTCATACCGATACCTTAATCTTTCATTCCTATGTTCAATAACTCTTTCTCATACCCACTTTACTTAATATTTTTATGCTCTCATTCCCATACTTTTACTCTCATTCTCATGCTGTCATATTTTGGTTCCAGGTATGTGGTATGCAGAAGTCTCAAGGAAGACAAGCAATTGGTCAATCAATATTTATTTTTATAAATGAAACTATTCATGATTTGAGACGAGACGAAGAAGAAGAGAAAGTTATTTTAGAGGTGAGAGAGAGGAAATACTCCCAATAACCAATAATTTTATAACCAATCTTAGCAAAATAGAATCACATTTTGTTTCATTTTATTGGAATCATAGAAATTGTGTGCTTCCTGATTTGTAGTGTTTTTTTAGGTTGTTCCTGATAATTTATTACAAACTAAACCATTCTACACTTACAGTATTGACAGTAATAACAGGTATTTATATTTTATTATTATTAGTATTATTATCATTAATTACCATTGGCATCAATCAAATCATAACATTAAAGAAGCTAAAATATTTCTTAAAAAATATGTATTCTAGCAAATTGATCAAAATTAAGGTTTTAATCATCATATTTGTGTGCATTAATTTTTTTAATTAGTTTCTATTTTGCAATTTTTCCCTAAATTTTTTCACTCAATCGGCATGTATTTTTCCTTCCATCTCTGTCTTCCTTGCTCTCCTCCTTTAGGTAGTAGATAATACTGATCTAACTGGTATCGATTATCTCTGGAAGGTTATAGTAGTCACATGAAATTCACATGACGGCTGCTCTTGTAGTCACGGACAGTATCATAGCAGATGAACTTATATCACACATACTCCAAATAACATGCAACTCACTAGGGCCTAAACTGAAGAAGGTTTGTGGTAAAGCTACAATGAATCTATTACCCTATTTATCCATATTACACTATTTGAACTGTTCTTAACTGAGTGCATCATTGTGATAAACATACCGTGGGTGCACTAAAATAGTGCAGTTTATATGCATGTAGTTCAGTTTTGGCACGGCTTAGCTCAGTTGTGTAGTGGCTTGAAATGTGAATTTCACTTAGTGAGCCAAATTAAATTACCGTAATTTGCCTTTTTTTCGTTGTGGAAATATTTTCGTATGGTCCTAAATTGACGCAAATATTTCAATCGAAAATTTTTGAGCAACCAAAATTTGTGACCTAATTCATCAAAGAAAGACTAAGGTACGGCCTGATAAGTAGGTATCTTCTTGCAGCTCTAACCTTGCTCTATCCACTGGTGCTTGCTGTACTTCAATCAGTTGCTTCACTACTGAGTTATAAAATAAAACGGTCCACCATGTGACAAAAGTAGCCATTTAATGTTTCCGTTTATTATCCGTAAATTGGTCATTGCTGCATCTCCAGTACTATCCGTATACTAGTAATGTCGGGGGGAACAGCCAGGTCAAGAATCTCTTATCTCAAGAATTATAAACACTACTATAGCGGCCTTGTTACCAGTAGGTAAAGGACAAGGTATGTGCAAGAGAAGCTAAATTTTCAGACTGTAAAAATTTTCGTACACTATGAGAAGACGAAAATATTTCCACTTGAATTTTTCTGAAACGAAAAATTTTTGTACGAAAAAAAGGCAAATTACGGTATGTTAAAGGATTTTGTATCAAATTAGCACAGTTTTATAAGTGAACATCGTTTGCTGACTTGAGTATTTGTTGTGATAGGAGTCCAGAGGGTTTTTACCTAACAACTAGACTAATCTATTACACTTACTGCAATTATTTTGTGTCATCATAGTCGAATTTTGGTGTTGATAACTATAGCTAGTGTTTTTCTAAAGCATAGCATAAGTTTTTGTCTCAACTCCACTAATTACTAGTTTCATTTTCAGCTGAGACAGATTATAGATAGTCCAACTAATACTTTTACCATACTGTCCGGCTTTCTTCACAAATTTTTTTCATATTGCCTGCTGCTTTTCATTTTGTTCACTATAAGTCTACTTCATCTTCAGTGCCTAAGAACATCACTGATAGACACCAGTTGGAGAGGATCCTGTGCAATGGCAGTGGAATATTTGATGATGATGTTACTCTGCTTGTTTATAGCAATGTGACTCATGAAATATCTCAAAATAAATACTGCAGAATTAATATAACCCACTCCCTTACACTCATTGGTCATCCAAGTGACTCTATAGCTCACATTTATTGTTCATCTACAAATTCAAGTAGACTCTGGACCAGTGGGTTTGCATTTTATGGTATAGGAAGTGAAAAACATCCAAGTGTATTTTCAAACAACTTTGGTTCTGTATTTGGACTAATGTTACACTGCAAGGACATTATCATTTCACTAATAATATTGCCAATCGTGCACCAGCTTTTATGCTAGAATTTAACAGTGTGCTTTACCTCATGAATGATCTGAAAGCTAATTTTACAAACAACACTGCTCAGTCAGTGGGAGGAGCAATATATGCCAGTGGGGAAGTATTTCAAAATTGCACATTTCAACATTTCAGCATGAGCCTTGCTAGTAATATTAGCTTGTATTTTGCTAATAACACTGCTACATTAGCTGGTGATGCTATTTACTCAACAAACCTCTATAATTGCACTCTAGCAAGATTTAAAGATGCATCACAGATCAATAATTTGTATTGGAAAGTCTTTAAAATGTATCTCTCAACAATATTGCATCATTTGCTTCATTTATTAAATTTTGCAATGAAACAGGAGGGAATAATAGATAATATCCAGGAACATCAGTTCATGTACCAGTCAATGTTTTCAATGGAAATGGTAGCTTCACTTTTGACATTTTAACAGTCATACCTGTTAGAAAGAAAAGAATGAAAAAAACTAGACTGGCAGTTCTCAAAAGATCAAGGATCAACTGTTATTAAAGGGAAGGACAGATGCTGAGATGCACAATGATAAACCTCACTATACACGCAACTGATAAATTGACATTCAACAAGTTGTCATTGTTGCTTTTTACTATTTCACGACAAAACAAGGTCTTTTATATAGAAGTTTGGTTGAGTGATTGTCTAATTGGTTTCCACTTCGATAACACAAAAGGTGTTTGTGTCTGCTCTAGAGTTTTTAGGCACATCAAAGAGTTTGAAGAACAAATTTCATGTGATATAGAAAAAAATGCTTTTTCTAAACCTTTTGATTTGCGTAGATCTATATGAGTTAATGTGAGTCATAGACAAAATGGAGGATTTGGAGTTATCTACTGCAATCCAAGTTATTGTAATACTGGCACTCAGTTCGACTTATTAAAAGTGAACAAGAATGGATTGTACCTCCATTCATCAACAACCTCTGACACAATACCTTTATGCTATGGCTCTAGAACAGGTGCCTTTTGTGGTGAGTGTATTCTTAAATACAGTGTGGTCTTTGGTTCTAAAGAATGTAAGTTATGTACCAGTATATGGTGGCCTCTGACATCAATCATATATTTTAGCTGGTCCTCTACTTGTGTTGCTATTATACACCTTTGGGCTGACTCTTGCAAATGGTGCTCTAAATGGCATCATATTTTATGCTCAAACTGCCAACATTGGAATCTTGAGATACCTAAGCATGCCATGCGGTGACTGTGGCGAAGAGTCTTTCTTTGTTAAACTTTCAAAATTATTCATAGCATTGTTGAACCTAAATCTTGGTTTTCCCCTTTTTTTATGATTGGATGACTGAGCTGTGGAAGGCTGGACTGAGCATACTCTTTCCTGTCTATCTCATACTCATTATTGTTTTTCTCATTATTTTGAGTCATTTTTAATCTCGAGTATCCAACAAATTGTCAAAGTCTTCAGTCCAAGTTTTAGTTACCATTGTTCACCTTTCCTTCACTAAACTTCTTGAAGCCATTATTGATGTATTTGGTTCAGCAAAGGTCTACGAAGAAGGTAAGGGAGAAAAGATTGTTTAGTATAATACTGGAGCTCTTAAATATGGAAGCATAGAAGTGATAGAACATACATGGCTAATGATAATAACATCAATTGTAGTGGGAGTCATTTTGACACCATATTTTGTATTGATACTGTTTGGTAAATATCTATTGAAATGGGACAGATTTAGAGAGTACATTCATCCATTTTATGAGGCGATTTATGCTCCATACAAAACTAACAGGTGGTATTGGTTTTCATTGTACCAATTGTTTTTGCTGCTCCTGTATGTCTTTGAAAATTTTGCTTGAAATACAGGAGCACTGTTTCTAATCCTTTTCATTGTATACAATATCTTCTTGTACCTGCAGACCTGTTCAATGCCCTTCAGAAACAAAGACCTCAATTTACTTAACCTCTCTTTGCTTCTGGTAATAAACTTTATCATCTTAATTGGTCAATACATTTACTCATATTCTTCAAAGTACATGATACTGTTCTTCACTCTTTAAAGTTACTACTTTGTTTTTATTTTCTGTTTTATCATTGTTTATCACATCTTATTGTCCACTGGCCAATTGGATAAGAATAATAAATTGTGTCATAAGATTTTTCCTTTTTATCGTTTTGTAAGTCCTACACTTCAACATCATCATTACGAAGCTGATTGTGGAGATTATCCTGAATTGCGCGAGCCACTTCTTGAACAGATGAGTGATTAATAATAAATTTTGTTGCAGTTGTGCTTTTTTGTGTCTCATTCTTAATCAGTTTGCTCTTTTCAATAGCTTACTTTGTTTTAGTACAAATTGTTTTGAATATGCATTTTGTCAAATTTATTAACTTTCTATGTAGCTAGTGATGATATTTTAATGCATATAAAATTACAAAAACTAGAAATGCGCCAATATACATATCAATGCATAACCACTTCAAGATTCATTGTTTTTTGCTTCCTTCAAACTATTTTCTGCATCAGTATTCATTATTTTACTGATATACAACTTAAATAGGGCTCAATGGGTGTGATCTTACCCCTCTTCTAATCCCTCATGCTCTGACCAATGTAGAATATCTGTTTGGTGTTTACTACTAAAAGAGGATTGAGGTGATTGGTGTCTATTTTTATGGCATTTGGCACTGCACTTTATAGCCAACATTAGATAAATTTTTGGAAATTATTCCTTGCATGATCAAAATTGTGATATACTTGCATACCGCTACTATACTTCCTATAATGTCACCTGTCTATATGTGACACACAATTAATAAATGGCACACTTAAGACTTATACAGCCAAGAATGATAACAACTCACAAATGCATGTACTTTAATGTACCACTGTTCTCAGTCCTTCACACATGTACAGTTCAAGTGTTATAATTTATTATCATCATTTGCTCATGTATGATTGTATTGAATTCCATACATACAATGTAGTAGCTAATTATCAAAAATGACTTTTAGATTTACATGCTATAAACTGTAAATTGTGAACAGTATTATTTAATGTAAAGTTCAATTATATCAACTGGAGTGTCTTCTAAACTATGTGGTAAGCTACTACATAGTCTCAGTTCAATATCATCAGTGGTTTGTGTATCTAGTGAACGATAGAACCAAGGCATCTTAGAGTTAGCTGGACAGCAGGTAATCTCTGGACCATCACATTGCTGTCCATCCCATAATGGATCAGCAGCATAGAGAACACTTTTGGCTGGACTGGAGTCTAATCCTGACTCACAATAATAATGAGACCCAATGAATGTTGCTGAAAGATTTCTATTACCATTGAATCCAGTGTTACATGGACACCCATCTGCAGTTGTGTCATCCTCTATGTTGCCTCCTGCATACGTCCAGATATGTTTGCGAGGATTGCTTCCATAAGTAATGGCTACACCATCAACATAAAAACTGTCTATGGTAGTACTTAAATGGTAGAATGCATCAGTATCATGAAATTGATATCCTCTAACTTGTCCACAGACTTTGTTGTATGTTAGTCCGTTAGATGAGAAGCTAGTTGAAGCGGCGCAGCCAGCAACTTGTGCCCTACCACAAAGAGGATGATTAATGTTATTGAAGGTGTATCTTGTTAGTCCAGTAGGACAGGTAGCCCCAGACTGGGTCATATTAAGATACCCTACTCTAGTCCAACCACCTTCTCCATCGCAATTGATACCATTCATGTCACAATATACCTGTACAGTATATCAATGATAGAAATGTATAATTCTATCTACTGTACCTCAACTTGAGTCTCTCCATCAGGATATATGATATAATTTCCATTAATAGTGCTACCTTTGCTATTTAAGTCCTTACAATTTTTTTCTATGGAAAATTACTAAGCTTAATAATATACTTGTATCTTTACCTGATGGACAAGACTTTGGTAGTACTTTTGGACAGAGAATGTATCTATTGATGCCATTCCCTTTGATAGTAACGCTCCTTCCCAAGTTGTCAATAACACAACAGACTCTTAGATAGAAGGACCCAGAGTGACCTTGATTAGTAGACATACAGTAAGATCCACTGGCTATACTATTAGAAGAGATCAGGATCATTAGCAACAGCAACATCTTTCTTTCCTTAGTTTTTCTGACCTTGTAGACTTTTGTTTTATCTATTTATACACACCAATTATTATTGGCCTCGCCTTATTAATTCATTGCTGTCTAGTGTGCTAGCTGTAGTTTAAGTGGAATGTGCTGCTAACTTTAATAACCTTCACTGTTACAGTATCGTATTTACTGATTCTTGTTTTTGTTAGGGTGTTTGCACTATTTGGCTAGCATCACTGGATCCTTAGTAAGAGATGATGCATAATTAGTTTTTAATTATGTCCAATTAGCAGAGAATGACACTATTTTATTGATCTGGCTAGTGAGGGAGCATTCTTTTTCCTTCATCCAGGCATATCATTATCATTGGACCTGGTATATAAATAATGCAATATATGCATAATGTTTATATACTGTATACTTATATCGCACAATAGTATACATGCATAGAATTTTAATTATTATGCCAAGTGGTAATGATTTCATTTTACATGCATTAGGGACTGGTTGTGCTTCCTTTAGATCATTCGTTGATGAGAAATTGAGCTCATCAGTTGTACCTGGCCAGCCTTGTAAGTTCTTTATGACAGTACAATGCCATAGTGTCTGCTCATTCCCTTTTGCTCCTACTTGTAGTTCTTTCTTTCTTACACTTCCTCTCTTAATCCATGTCTTAGTAATGTTATTCTTTGACTCACTCTCTCCTTTCTCAAGTTATTATTACACACAGGTCACTTAATGTTGTTTTGGATGTTGCTGAGAGAGAGCTGATTATTTCTTTAAAAGTGAATGGAAGTCACTGCTTCAAAACTCCTAAAATTTACTGCTTTTTCAAGAGATCAAGTAAGCAAGACTCAGTATTACTTATATAGTTGCATTCATTTTTTTATTAAGCTTCAAAATTACATAAAGCTACATTCATTTACTATATACTTGTGTTATAAACGACTTTTGGCTTCTGCTAATGAAATTGTTGTTCATTTGCAGCAGCATTACATTGCTTATCATTAGTGTGCATGTATGTGTACATTACTCAAGCACATTAGGGATAGGAACACAAAATAGAGTACATGAGAGCATACAGAGAACATGCTTGTACATTGTTGATAGGAAGTTGATGTGTATACCCGGTATTGTTTGTGTACATGTACTCTGTACTTTTATTGTACTACCTTATAGTAGTATACCTCTATACTGTATGTGTTCCTATCAGTGAGATACTTCATGTTTCAAATGTTGTACATTATGTAATGGTTGTAGGAAATTAAAGTAAAATGTTCAAGATACAATCAAAGATCAGAAGAGCTTGTGCGGGAGTGGCTTGAGAGGATAATGCTTATGTCTTCATTGCTGGGTAAGCTGTTACTATAGCTCCAAAATCATCCCCAATTTTTATTACATTTTCTGATACATGTTGATGTCCTTAATGCTATGTAAGAAGTTTGAGGCAATTTTGACTTTAATTTTCTGTGTTGTGGCCAATTAAAAAACTTGACTGTGCTGTAGCCCATGGTTTGTTTCTGAAAATTGGCTCCAAAATTACCCCAAATTTCTATTATGTTTTCTGATGCATATTGATGTGTTTGTGTTATGTAGCCAATTTTGATTTCAATTTTTTGTGTTATGGCCATTTCTTAAAACTTTTTTCATTTTTTTCCAAAAATTGGCTCCAAAACGAAACCGAATTTTATTATGATTTCTGATGCATATTGATGTACTTCTGTGTAGAAAGTTTGAGCTGATTCTGACTTCAAATTTTTGATTTATCACCATTTAAAAAAAAATATGTCAAAATTGTAAAAATACCCTATACTATAGCCCATGGTTTTTTTCAAAAAATTTGCTCCAAAATTTGCTTAAAATATATGCATGTAATATTAAGTTATTAGTTAGTTATTACTTTTGGTAAGGATTTGTACTTAGCATACATCAAGTATATTTGTGTCACGTGTATTATCCCTTTCTTCAGTTTGATGGCACTATGTCTCTCTTCCATTCATATGTTGTTGGTACTTTTAAAATTGAAATTCAACATACAAGCAGTGTAATAATCAATAGTTAATCATTAATTAATAATTTGATCTTTAATGAACAAGTGTATGCATTGTTGGTCAGTACCAATAAACACAAAAATTTAATGTATTAAAGCAGAAGAAGCATTGTATTTACATGTGTATTTACATTAAATTATTAAGCTTCATCTCCCGGTCCCATTCATCAATGATTACAGCTTTCTTCAGTTTAATGGCACCACATCTTTTAAGTATCATACAATATTGGTATCTTTGATGAAGGACCATATCCACTGTCTACTATCAATTGAAGGTAAGGTGGTTTAGCTGGTGACAGTGAATTAAAAATTATCTCAAGAACAGACTGATGTATTTCCTTAATAGAAACAGTCATATCATTTGCTGATACAATACTAAGCAATAAACTTAAACTATCAATACCAATAGTGATCTCATCTACTTTGATTGATTTCACTTTAGAAAACAAACAGAGTGCATCATTGCTCCTAATTTTCAATGATTTCAATACAATGTACTGAGGAAGAGTATCAGACTCAAGAATATGAGAGAAATTGCTTGATTGTATCCTTAAAATTACATCAAGTGATTTCAATTGCTATTGGGATTTAATTTTTAGTTGCATGCATGCTACAGCAGCTATACTGTTAATTGACCACTAAGTCTATTATATTGACTTTTACCAAATGTGACATAATTTCACCAGCTTACTTGAAAGTGTTATTAAAAAATTTCTCCTGAAGATATATAAACTTTGACCAATGCAAGCAAATTTCTCAATAAAACAGAGCTGAGGGTTAAATGGCCATGCATCAAAAATAAAAATTGGCTCAAACTTTCTACACAGCATAAGCACATCAATATTTATTAGAAAGTTTGGATTGTTTTGGAGACATTTTTTTGATAAAACCATGAGCTTTATCAAATAAGTGTAGGGTATTTCAAAAATTGATTCATTTTAAGACAACCCTATTTCAAAAACTTGAGCTTCCAATCAGCTCAAACTTTGCATCTTAAGGGCATCAATATGTATCATAAAAAATGAGGGTAATTTCAGAGCCAATTTTTTAGCATTATTTTTAACGGTCATAATGTGAATTTAGTTCAAACTTTATGCATAAAATAGTGTACAGCAGTGTAGAACACAATAAATGGGAACTCCCTTTAATCACTTTTCAATCAAATTCATTACATATATTTATGCAAGTAACCACAAAGTTGGAGCACTTATTATTGACAAAATGAAATTTTCACCTAGCCATTTCTGACAAAACTTGGCCTTTGACTAAAGTCTATAGCCATTGTTCATTGTCCCCATTTTTTGAGCAACTCTACAGACTCACAAAAATTTCAAATTTGATTTAAAGTTGATACACTTGGTCATTGGCCCAATTTTTTAACAACTTTTTTGATTCAAATTTTGATCAGAATCAGCTTAAAGTTGATATAAGGACATGTGTAATAATTATGCATAAAAATTATAAAAGTGGAAAATTCTCATATTGTGAATTTTGTAGGAATGCCCTGTAGTACTATGGTACTGGACTACATGTCTATGTATGCATCCATTATTCATGTGGTTACATACAGGTATAATGTGACTACTGAGTACTAACTACTCAACTGCACAGTACATGTACATATATGTTGTGAGTATACACTTTGTGGAGTTCTAGCCAAAAGTTATACAGTATGCATTGTACCTCTTTAAAAGAGATTTATCTTTTGATTGTTAGTTTTTTCATATGTACTGTATCATGTCAGTAAAAGAAAGAAATAGGAAGATGCTTGAAACTTATTCGTCAAGCAGCAAGCCCAGCAATGAATACTGTATAAAAATCAACTATACTGACTTAGAAATAATTCTTATTATAACTACAATCTAGGTGTTGTACTAGTCTTGGTCTTCCATTACCAGTTCAGAAAGCAGCTAGCTTCCTTGCACTTGCAGGAAGCTATTGAGCTTGACCTTGCTCCAGGGTATGTTTAAGGTATCAATCATGTTCATCTAACACTTAGCTCATGCCATCATTGTTATTGGTGAGGTGATGTCAAGGAATATTTTATGCTTGTAAGTCAAGCCTATAATTGTTGTTTGTCGCCTTGTACCTCAAAATGATTTTATAAAGTAAACTTAGCATTATAGCATCAAATGTTTATCATAGGATTGCACTAATGGAGTGGGCTAAATCAAGAAGTATAGGTTTGAAAGATTACTTGACACTCAGGTTTGTTGTAGATGATCTATAAAAATACTTCCGAGCAGAATTTTATTTATGTAGAAATCAGCAAGGCCTGCATTCTTCTAAAATCATCAGGGCTTGACTCTAATTTGAAATTGAAATTTAAAATTATTTTATTTATATTTTACTTTTTTGGCAAAAATTAATACCATTTGTGGTATAAAAATAATTTTTTATTGCATGTTCAAATCTCAGGGGCGTGGTTGACCTTGCCTTTTAAGTTTTAACCACGTGGAGTCATCATAGTGTACCTGAGTGTCTATGGACAGACAGTCTCCTCACTCTACCCTTCCAGCCTTCCTTCTCTCTTTTTATAGATACTAATATACTTAGCCCAAGGTCTGGCTAATAACCTTTACTTGCTCCAAGTAGGTACAAGATCCCTCATTAATACAGTGCATCACTTTGTTTATCCCTTGGTTTATATATACAGTATCCATTTCACCCTGCGCACATGCCGGTGATGGTAGAGGCTAAAATGAGAAGAGAGCATTTGGAGATGAGAATCAGCTTAAAGACAAGAGCAACATTACTCACAGAGTAAGGGAATGTAAATAAAGTACATGTACATGGATATTTTTAAAATGTACTACATGTATATAGGGGAGATTTCGGAGCAAATTTGCAATTTGCTTTGCTTTTAAAAATATAACTTAAAAATTATTTATAAGATTCAACTTGAATCTTTCTGCATAGCATAAAGAACATTAATTTGTATTTAAAATGTAATAAAAATTAGGATAATTTTGGATAAAAAACACTTTTTTGAAAATTAAATTGTTTTTAAATGGTCATAACTCAAAAATTGTTTATTAATAACTTTCTACATACATGTAGTGCATAACATAAAGACATCAATGTGTCAGGATTTCGCACGAATTTTGGCAATAGCTTTTTTATTGGATTGTCAAGTTGCTCTTAAACCGGGCCTAAGACCCTCAAATTTTGTCAAAAATGAGAAAAGAGAATTCTTCATTTTTAATATTTTGATACACGTACATGTAGTTAATTTCAGCATTTTTATAATTTTTTCTGATGCATATACGTTTTCTTATGCTGCATAGAAAGTTTGAGCTGATACCAATTAAATTTGGATTTCTTATGAATTTTTCAAGTTTCTCCCCATCAATACATTTTGTTATTAATAGTTATTAATTATTCTTCTCTCCTCTCAATAGGCTCCAGTCTTGATACACTAACAGTACTTGGCTCTCATAAGAATGACGTCATTCGACTAGCTAATGATAGTTCTTTAAATACCTCCTTCTCATTCCAGCAACAATCTAATGGCCTCTCTTTAGTCTTCATGGAGTCCTTCCAGTATGATGACACTCTTCCACAATACATGTATGTTGAGAAGTTCAAAAGATATCATTTTTAGTTGGCCACTGCTGTTCACTCTCACTGAGGATGGGATTATGTGTATCCTTATTAATGCCCCAGGCACATTTCTTAGCCTTAGGCTTTTCCAAAATTGGCTCCAAATTTTTTGTACATCTTTTGATAGATATTGATGTCATTATGCTGTGTACCACGTTTGAGCTGATTCTGACTTAAATTTTTTGATTTAGGCCATTAAAAAATTTCCAAATACTCAAGGCTATAATTATATAGCCTTGAGTATTATTTAGATTTTAGAGCCCATGGTTTTTCTAGAAAATGGCTAAAAAATCATTCCAAATTTTATGTAGATTTTCTAATACATGTACATATTGATTTCCTTATGCTGTGTAGAAGTTTGAGCTGATTCGGACTTAAAGTTTTCAAGTTACCGGCATATTCAGAAAAGGCCAAACTCCAAAACTGAAATACCCAAGGTCTATACTCCTTTCTTTCTTTATCTATGTACATGTACATGTACATTAATCATTAATAATGTACAATTATGATCCTTAACTTCATTATTATCCAGTGGTCTACAGTGTCTATAATGCTATGATCATTGTTGCCATTCATCCACTGGAATACTGTAGAATGTTTTTAGCTATAACACTCCAGGTAAATATTTACAATTTTATGATAAAATTAAATTGAAATTAAGATACCGTATTTCCTTAAATAAAAGCCCGGGCGTCTATTTCCTAAAATGATATTAGGACCTCCAAAAAATATATAAAAAAATAAAAAAAACTTCGGCACAGAGAGGGATTCGAACCCGTGGCCTCATGCTTTTGACTTCTGGAACTGCAGGCATTATCCACTAGACTAGTGAGTCACTCCTAAGCTAGTATTGCATATTTATAGTTAAATTGTATTGCTACCCCGGCGTTTATTCGAATGCGGCTTCTATTTAAGGAAATACGGTACCTCCTATTAGTATTTTATTATTTTTATTGTATTAGGTGTCAATGTATTGTAGTTGAAGAGGTGAGTCTCTTAATTCATTGGATCAATGTTCCCTCCCACTCAATGCACTGGAGACTGGAACTGAGACATAGTGTCATTCTTCCTTAGGAATAAAGGTAAATGATTCTATTTATAGTAACACTGATGCTATTTATAGTACAATGCTATTGATTGAGACTATGCTATTGTAGTATATGATATATCATTGTCTATTGTAGTAATTGATACTATTTATAGTAACGATGCTAGTGTACACGTTTGGTAGTGATATAGTAATTCAAAAATTGCCCATTGCACAAAATTTGGTGTTGGAATCAACTCAAATTTTTTATTAGCAACAGACAGACAGACGTAAATAGTAATAATGATGTATAATCCTTTGCTTGGCTCGTCCCCTTAATGTTTTACATTCATCTTGTAATAATGTATCATTAATAATAATAATAGTTATAAACAGAACAAAGTAAGATACTGTAGGCAGCCATCTTAACAGAATAAGTGATACCGTATAGCCGGAAAATTTGGTGGAGAATTAAATCTGGCGGATTGGCGGTTCAAAATAAAACCGCCAATATTATAACCATCAATAATAATTGTAATGATGGGCGGATTCCTTCATAGGCACATGATACTAAAAAATGCCAAAATGGCAGTATTTCTCACTATTTCAGTCAAGACTGGGGGCAAGGGCTGCCAAGGAGCAGCTTCAAGAAGAGCTGAGTACCGCTAAAGTTTTAGACAGTCAAATTTTCTGGCTGTACAGTAATAGAAAATAATAATTTTAATAA